GGCAGGTTATTTTACCAGCCCAATGAGTTTATTTAGGAATAGGAGAGAAATTGCAATTCAGGACAAGCAAACTATGGTGAACCACAGGCAAGTTGAAAGAGACAAAGGGAAGGTCAGCTTTTATTAGGTTTCAGGAGGAAACTGGGGAGGGTTATTTTAAACAAAAGTTCATTGGAGAAGAGCCAGTGTTGGAGGTTTTGGCGGGTTCTCATCGCTATACGGGGTGGTCAGCACATTGTTGCTGGGGGCAGGGAGGGATCATCCTTCTTTTTCTTCAAAATAGGAGATAAATTCCTCTGAGAAAAAATGCCCTCCCTTGTCCAAGTAATTTTCCCTTTCTTCTCTCTACTGGTGAAGCAGGCTGCAATATGGTACATGCGTGAAAGTGCCCCCTTCAAGAATTCCTGGCTCCATTTTACATGAGGATTTCACAGCATCTCCCTTTGAGTGGGGCCCGGAGCAGAGAAGGGCTCCGTAGCACGTCCAGGCTGATGTGGAAGCAACGCTCCTTTTTAATATCAGAGGTACATGTTGGGGAAAGATGCTGTGTGGGGCTTATGGGCAGTCCCAGTGGAGGGATCACAACTTGGTCACATAGTCCCCTGGGCTTCTTTTGCAAAGCCATGCCGTCTGCAAGGCAAATCGATGTGTCTTTGGAAAAACAACTCTTGGCATGATACCTGGCCCTGGTGAAGATGTAGTACGTGAACCCAGGACCCCAGATGAGTGTGCATCTGGAGCTGCCCATCATGAGCTGAGAGCTATTACATCCACGAAGTCATGAGGTCAGTAGGCCAGTAGCAATTCATCATAACTGGGAGCGGTGACTCACTAAGGGCTTGAGGACACCAGCCAGCTGCATAAGTGCGCAGCCCGGCCTCGCTTCAGCTGCCATTGTTGCACCAGTGTCCCCCCCCCCCCCAGTTCATGAAGGGCCATGTAGGAGCAGACCTGATGAACCGCATGGCAGAGGAAGGCAAAAACCCAAGCTTCATTTATGGATGAGCTGGTTCAATACGTGGGTTCAAGGGGAAAGTGAAGAGTACGTATGTTACAAGGAGTGGCTTTGAAAACCACTTGGCAAGAAAAAGTCCTTCCGATAGGCAGAACTTTGGGCAGTGTACCTGACGTTTTACTTTGTATGGAAGGAAAAACGGCCTGATGTTAGGCCATAGACAGAGGCCTGGATAGACAAAGATTGAAAGATTGGTTGGAGGCACGTGGATAGGTATGGGAGCGGCATGAAGTGCAAAGCTCTTTGCATCATATGCTAATGCCCACCAGAGAGTGCCCACCATGGAAGAGACCCTGAATTACCAAGCAGACAGAATGACTTGGCCATCTGACATCAGCCAACTCCAGGCACTGGCCACCATGGTGCTGGTACCGGGGACACAGGAGGGACGTAGCCACAGTTAGAGGGATGGGGCTATGCCCTGGCTCCCACAAACTGCAGAGGCTCCTATGAACCGAGGCTGAGTTTAGCCCTGTTGCCAATGACCATCCAACCCACCAGCAATAGAGCAACACCCTCCCACCCCCCATATAACACTATTCCTCGAGGAGACCAACTGCCTCCTTGGTGGCAAGGTAATTATTTGAAGCCCCTTCCATCTTGCAAGGGCTCATGATTCATTATCCCAGGACAATGTCTATTCCAAGTAGCATCGTAATGAAATAATCCCAATCAGTAAGAAATATATTTGTTTCGATCCCCAAACGCATCACTCCAGAAAGATTGTGCTAAAAGCTGTTGCTCATGATTTTCTGCAGCGATCTATGCCAACAGCCTGATGTGAGCTCCTGTTAAGGTCTTCGGCTATACTCCTGTGAACTGTGAAATGATCTCCTGGGATTCTTTCCTCTGTGCTTTTCCTAGTGGTCTGTCCATGAACTTAAAGCATCTCAGCACCCCCCAGACTGCCTTTGGGATGTCTTCCGTATTCGGAGGGCTGTGAATGTGGCTGGATTGCCATCTTTGCTAGCTGCCAAATGATGGTGGAGGTCGTAAAAGCCTCCTAAATGTCGTTATAAAATGATTGCTGGTGTTACACAAATACTTTCTTCTCTTATCCTTTGGAGGAGTGGCGAGTCTCATAGTTCACCTTCCTCTACGAATTTCTAAGTAAGTAAGTGATCAAGGACTTCTGGTTGTGCTGATAATCCAAGTGTTTTTAACAACATTTTCTTCAACATCCAGTATTGTGACCAGAGCTTGAGTCGGGGAGGGGGAGAAGGGCTGTGTCTATTTCGCAAACAACTAGGACAGAAAAAGCTTGCATACGTAGGTAGAGCAAGCAGAAAGCTTTGCAGTCATGTATAAGGAGGAATAAGCTTTGTCTACCGGCTGTGTGGACGCCTACAGCGTCTCTATATATCGCTCTTACTTTACTCATTAGACAACATGTTTTGGAGAGGGAAGAGAATACAGATTGTGGTACAGCCCAACTGGCTTTCTTTGCATTGGTTAGCTTTCTGTTTTCTGATTTTGAATCCAGTGTGTCTGTTTAGCAAATAAAATCCTTTACGAAAACTGGGATTGGGGAATTGGAGGGCAGGGAATGGGTAAAACTCTTCCCAGATCTGACGTTTGGTCTTAGTTTTTTTTTTCTGGAGTCTGGGACTGGGAATCAGAAGGTCACAGTGTCAGAAACCTATGTAAAGAGACTTCCTGTGGCTTTCTGTCAGGCAAAAGAATTCATTTACATTCTTAAGAGTAGCCAGTGCAGAGTTTTTTCTTCCATACTCCTTCAGACAGGGGGCCATCTTGGCTCTCGGTCAGTGCTCTGGAAAGTGGCCTAGTGCTTTACAACCAATTGAACTTGATTATGGCTTATGTCTTCAGTAATCAAAAAGTCTCCAAAGTGTTCAAAAGGAGACAAACTAGAAAAAGGTATCCTTAAGGATGTAAAATGACTGCATTGTTTATAAAACAATACGATTTGACTAACATTTATTGATTTTTTAAATAATTTTTTAAAGTTTATTTATTCATTATTGAGAGAGAGAGAGAGAGAGAGAGAGAGAGAGAGAGCACAAGCTGGGGAGAGGCAAAGAGGGAGGGAGACACAGAATCCGAAGCAGGCTCCAGGCCCCGAGCTGTCAGCACAGAGCCCAAGGCGGAGCTCAAACCCACAGGCCGCGAGATCATGACCTGAGCTGAAGTCAGACACTCAACTGACTGAGCCACCCAGGTGCCCCGACATTTATTTAAAAATACAAAATCGATCCAAACATGTCCTGAGAAAACTTGACTTATTTTTAATCTTTCAAATGCCAAAATGATCAAGTGGCCAAAAAGAGAAAAGAAAAAAAGAAAGAATAAAGAAAGAAAGTGGTAGGCCTCTGAATAGATGAAAACCTCCAAAAAGGACCTTTCTCGAGGGTTTGATTATCAAAACACACCTGCTCTCTGTCGCTGTAAGCTAAGCTATTAATATTATCAGCTAACATTTACTGATATTTTACTACATGCCAGGAACGTTAAATTACATGGATTGTCACACTTAATCCACCAAATAATTTATGAGGTAGGTGCTATTAGCTCCTGTTCTCAGATTAGGAAAACAGGGGCTAAAACGGATAAGTAATCTTACCCATATCGCTTTCCTAGTAAAAAGTAGGGCTGGTATATTAACTTGGAAGGAGTCTGGCTCCAAAGTCTATGTGATCAACCACGATGCTCCGGAAGGAGCTGGGAATGGAAAATCTGGCCAAGTATTAACCCTCTCTTTCTACCATTCAGTTCCGGGGATAAGCAGGGCCGCCATGCACAGTGTTTCGGGTTGTGCGCTACTTAAGCATGCCACAGCTAAGGGGATGCCCTTTCCCTTGTAGATGTATTCTAACTTATATGAGAGGCGATAGGTGTTGGTGAAGATGTGAAGCTTCTAACCAAGTCCCGGGGTAGCAGCACACATCTCCGTGCACACAGAATCTGGCACACACACGTGCACGAGACCACCTTGTCCCAGCCACATGCCAGACATCCCACGGTATTATTTTTTGTCCTCTCCTATTGCTCTCGGGGACACAGCTCCTACCCCCAAACTGTCTTCCAAACCTGGAAGGGTGAATGCATGAGCCAAACAAGCTGCCACCTCTAATTATTGCGCAACAAGATGTCAACCGCCTTGATTTTTCTAAAGGAGACGTGTCCTTTCTACCTGGCACAAGGGTGCTCTCTGGGGGCCCTGGTGAGGACCTTCTTTTAGAACCAACAGAGGTAGGCATTACATCCCTTACGAGGAAAAGAGCCCACCCATGACATATTTCCCAAAGCAAAATGTTGGGGTTATGTTTAAGCCTGTCGGCTGTCCTTCCTCCTTCGGGATGAGCCCCGTGTGTCAGTGCTCTCTTTCCGTGGAGGTCATCTCATTTCCTGGACGGCGCTTTGGCTGGAGCATGAATTAGCAATTGTCAGGCATGCAGTTGAGCCGGGAGTCCGTGACCCGAACTGGCTCTCCCTGGGAGCCTAAGGGGTCAGGCCAGCAGAAGGCACCAGCTGCCCAGCCAGACCATAGGGGAATTCCTCTCCTGAATTTTCTCCCCTCCCCAGATTGTCTCATCATCACCCTACAGGGGTCAGCTAAACTGGGGCATCCTGAAAAATCTGGGGCTCTGGACTGGAGGGGAAATGAGAAGTGGAAGAACGGAGATCCGTGTGTTTTCTTTGATGCCACTGTCACCAACCCTGGAAGAGTTCTTCAAGAGTAAGTGACAGGAAGGACCACAAGGAGCCAGGGCTGGCTCCCCCCTAGAAGAACTAGAAGCCGAGGCCCGATGTGCCCTGACTCGCTGCAGGTGTGGAGGGGCGAGGGGCACATCTACGTCTCGCACTTGAGGCTTCCGGGGCTATAGCCCCAGCTGCTTTCCAGCGCTCCGGTGCTGCCTTCTGAGTCTCAAGGTTAGAGGGAAGACGCTAGAAGGTGTCCAAACACCAGCATCTCAAAGAGACAGAGAAAAAGAAAAGTCCGGGTGGATTTTACTTCTGGGCTGAGATGGATAGAGAAGCCTCAGCTAAGCCCGGAGAAGGACAGGTGAGATGCGGCTTCCCCCCTCTGCCTACCCCCCCACCCCAGGCTGGGGTCCTGTCTCCCAGTGGGGGGTGGTGAATTTCTGCAGCAGTTCTCAAGCATGCATTCAGGGCCCCTCCCCACAGCAGGCCGGGCTCACTCCCAGGGGGCCAGGAAAGGTCTGTGTTGTCCAGGCTGCAACATCGCCCTCCCACCTCCCGGCTCTCCTGATCCCCTCGACTCTCCCTCCCACCAGAGTGCAAGACTCCTTTGAGGCCCTGAGTAATGTAGAACCAACAAATGTCAGAAAGAGAAGGAAACATGGAGATCCACAAAGTTCTTCTGCTATAGTGGAGACAAGGATGCATTGTTCTAGGTCATTCCATCAGCCACAGGCAAAGCAAAAGCTCCTGAGTCCTGGTTCTGTGCACTTCTCTCTGTACCACAGGGGCTCATTTCTTTCTTGTCAGCTGCCCCAGGGGTAGGGAATAGGAGAGGAGTGGGCCTGGTAGGGGGTGGGGGGGGTGGGGGAGTGGGTAGGGGGTGGCCAGTAGGGATCCGGGGAGTCGTAGAGCAGCCTGTGTTGAAGATGAGATAGATGTCCTTCCTGGCAGGACCAGGGGATGAGAGTGCCCCCCCCCCCCACCATGTGGCCCTCACCCCCTAAGATGTTGTGCATTATAACAAAGGCCTGTAGCCCCAGGCTGCTGAGTTAGGGCCCTCTGTATCCTGGAGAAAGGCTTTCTGAAGGTCATTGGCAGGGTGGGGGACTTGGAGACATTTCCTCCAATATAGTCTTTTCAGCCTCGGATCAAGGCTAATAGCACCCTGGAGGCCTTTTATCTCACACTCTGTGCTTCCTCATTGCCCCTCGGATGCCAGGCGGCTTTTGCTCCTGCCTAGAGATTGCTGCCCCAGGGGACTCCAGAGGAAGCGGGTGGTGTGGTCTACAGACTTTGACCTCAACCTGTGCTGTGTCAGCACCTAGTGCGTTAGGAAAACCAGCCCTAGGAACCTGGGCTTGGTGGACATTAATCAAACAAACAGATTAGGCGCAGGCACACCTGGAGAGCCTCTGGGGGAGGGCAGGCAGCCAGAAAGCTCTGGACGGCACAGAGAGCCTATGGCTGCCATGGCATTGCCCAAGATGGGGGCATTGTGGAGGAGGCATGAGAAGCCCGAGGGCTTTTCCAACCCCAGCCAGTCTCGGGGCTCTACCTGGATAGAGAAGCCAAGGCTTT